AGGGAATATATGGTGTACCAGGTATATCTCTGGAGGTGTTGGGCTTTCAGAACACTTTTAGAAAAGCAAGGGGGAGAATGAAGAATTCCTTTGAGAAACATGAGTCTTCACTAAAAGGTATTGGAAGAAAATGTCTTTGCCTTATTCCTTTGAGCTAAAGAGAACATTCTTGCATGTGAGAACTGTCTGCACCAGAAAGGCATGCACAGGACTGCAGAGATGATCTGGAATAGGAGAGATAATCTTCCTCCATAAGATACCAAGAAAAAACATCCAGAAAGCTACTGAGGGTAATCAGGCATCTTAAAAACCAGCAGTTTCAGCAACTGACAGTGCGACTTGTGTTGCTCGAGAATGTGCTGTGAATTTCAGGGTTTGGGATTGTGCTGGCTGTGGTGGGGCTAGCCATGGAAAATGAGCTGGTTCAAAGGAAGACAAAGCTGGGGACAGAACTGGTGATGGGTCTTGTCAAACTCCGATCCTGGTGTTATAAGTAATACAGACAAAGAGTCCGATTATAGATTTAAATCGGGTTTATTAGATATAGGTGAGCAAAGCAGCGCCCTGGGCGGCCAGGGAGTCTCCACTCTGCAGACGGCTCTCCAATGGGTTAATAGAGCAGTCCTCTTTATACCCCCTCCAGGGCAGTTGAGTCCCTTATCATTTATGATGAGTCGTTTTAGTTGTTGACAACTCCTTGTGATGGCCGTGATGTGTCAGTTTAGGTTATCTGATGCAATTCACGGGTCCTCCGGGAATTGCCGGGCCCGTCCGTTGGACAAATACTCACAGTCGCCTTTCTCGGTTTATCCTTTAGGCAGTTCTGTAGATTTTACAATTATCGTGTCTACATCGCTTATATGTAAATACCTAAACTTAAGCCTTGACTAAATAACAGGATGCATGAGCATCATGCTGACATAACTCTGCGGTTTGACATTTAACCATTTGCTTAAGTCTCTGGCTCTTACTTGAAAGAACTGTTAAATTAATTGTTTGATTGTTTGATTAGCAAATTATTACTTATCACACTGGTCTAGACTTTCAGGAGTACCAAGTACTGGAAGGGCACATATGTCATTTGCATATAGATAACACAAGTGCTGTTAAAAGTCCTTGAGGTGGGAAGGGGAAGCTGCATTTTTCACTTTTCTGCTGTCTCGCACAGTCTTTGTTTTACTGATATATTCCTATGGATGGGAAAACTGCTGATAACATCTATTTCAGTGTGAGACCTGTCCAAAACTAAACCATTATTGGGAGCAACAGGGAGGAACAAAAAAGCAGATAAATCCTCCCAGAGTGCTTATGGGTTCTGTTGGGAATCCCAGTATCAGCTGGTCATTGTTCCTGGTAATAATAACAATGCTTGTAAAAAGTGTCTTTTAAGCTGTGATTGCTTTTATGCATCTTGCATATCAAGCGAGAAAAAGCAGCATCCTTAACATTTTTATGTTAAGCTCCTAGGAGCGGGGAGGGGGGGGGGGGGTGGGGGGGTCATCATCCCACCCTTAGTCTTTGTCTGAGGTAAATGTTGAGTCTTTGTTGATGTTTTGAGGGCTGTCTGTCTCTCCTTGGTGACATCTCTGCTGTGGGCTGACTGGTCAGAGCTGGGGGCTTTCTCCTGTTTAAAGAAGAAAAAGGTTTAAACCCCTGGGTGTTTGGGATAGGAAAAAGGATTTCAAGCTTGTGATCCAATGGTAGTGAAACAAATATCTGAGAAAAATCTGACTAATGGTTTTATGAAACCCTTTGACAACAAAATTAATGGGAGTAGGGTTGGGGATGGGAAGGAAAATTTACAGGATCCAAAACCTCCTCCAAAGAAGAGTTCTGTTCTTACCAATGGAAATGTTTGGAACTTCAGATGGAAGCTGCTGTAGGTGAGCTAGAGCAAAACCAAAATGAGAAAAGCTTGTGCATGAAAGCTCTTATTTCAGTTTGAACCAGGGTCATTCTGTTGTAACAAAAACCCCTAGTTCTCTGCTGAATCAAAAGAAGCTGCTGCTTTTTCTTGTGAACAGGGGTGGTTTGCTTAATAAGCACCCAAAAGCTAACTCAATCTTTATCAAATCATTAATGTTCCCTCCTTTGCATACATATATATGCAAATATCTCTCTTTGTTTCTGCGTATCTCTGCAGTTACACAAAATGCACTCCTGGCCCATCCTGTCTGCTCCTCAGCTGCGTTGTCTGTTCATAATCACCCATCAACCTTCACTTCTCCCCAGTGAAAATATCTTAATTATTTTCTTTCTCTTATCCAATAAGGAATATATATTTTTAACTCCCAGTGGAAGCTTTCTACTTCAGTGTCAGACAAATTTCAGAATATTTACCGAGCCCATCACACATGCCCTCCCATTCAGATAGAGTGGATGTGATCCTTCCTTGTCAAAGGACTTCCTTTGCAGGAGTTAAGGTGAGAGAGGAGGACATGTCAGACAGAGAGCTTAATCTGTGATGATAACAACCTAAAGTTTGGTGAGTTAATTCAGGAATGAAACTGCCATGATCATATGGCAGTATACTTCAGAAAGAGTTCTCAGAACAGACAGTTTGGGGTATTTTGTTTTCTGCACTCACTCCATCTTATCAGCAGTTTTACCAAAGCCATCTTACCTAGAGGAGGCTGTGCAGACTTGCTCACAAATTTTAATCATCCAAAATGAAAAGAAACACAGGAAAATGAAACATAAATCCTTATATTATTTGGATCTGTAAAGCTGACGTACTCTGTAACAGTTGATTCATCAGGTCTGTCTGAGAATTTGGGGCTATTTTCATGACTCTTTACAAGATTCTAATTGCTGTCACTAGTTGAGAAACTCTGTTTTTCCATGCTGATTTATAATTTAGGCTGCTATTTAGAGTTCTGCAGCTCCTTCATGCATTTTAAGTGACTCATTTTTCCCCTAAAGTTACCATGTTGGATGAGTTAATTGCTCCTTCCCAGCTAATAGTCTTTGCACAGTAATGGGTTTTATTAAATGCCTGTGAATGTGCAATGGATATACCTGAATATCTTCTCTTAGTCTGGACCCACTGAGTTTGCTTAACAATACCATGTATAGAGGTTTAATTATATAGTGAGTATAAACATTGCTGACAGTTATTTATCTCCCTTCCCTCCTCTGAATATATTTGTTTTTTGGGATGATGATTTTATCATTGATGGCATGTTCACAAATGTCAATATGTTCTTTCCATTTTTGACTTTTAGTTATTCAGAGAACTATTGCTGGCTAGTGAAGGTAATCCAGACCCTAAAGTGACTGAGTTATGTGAGTATTATACTCTGGTTTAAGAAAAGAAAAAGAAAATATTTCAAAAGAATCTATTATCCAATAAATTTAGACTGTTTGCATGTATTTGTAACTAGATTGCATGATAGAAATATGGGTGAATAGAGACACAATGTGATCCCAGTAATGTACGAGTAAGGTATTCCTATCCTAAAGCAGGAAGGGGCAGAAACTTGAATGATTTTAAAAATGTCCTTAGCAAGGGAAGATCATGATTTCTACGCCCAAATCAACTTGATGATTACTCTGATAAGTACGAATGAAAGGACAGGCCCAACATTTGTACTTTTTTTTTTTTTTTTTGTAGTAAAACAAAATGAATGAGCAATTAATAGGTTTAAGATGTGACTTGTATGATCTTTCTTTCATTTAGAACTGCCTGAAAACAACCTGTGAAGATGAAGAAGACCAAGGTAATAAAAAACAAGTGATAAGAAGTTTAATAAAGCAGAGATTTAAAATATTTTCTGCATAGTCTATTTTTAGCAACAAATAATTCCTTAGAAAGAGAGTGAATTCTTACATGAAGCTATGTCCAGGACAGATTTACGAAGCCTTTGTACATAGAAAAGATTACATACATTTGATCTCTTTTTAAGGAATAACATTTTTGGATAACTCTTCCCATCTAGCTATCCTATCTTCTGCTATGGAGAAATGCCTATGATAAGGTGTAGTTCATGTTGCCTGGATCCAGATGGGGTTAATAACATTTTTGCAGTGCTCTGGGCTTCAGGGTAGGTGACTAGATTAATTTTAACTAGACATGCATCTTTTAGAGGCCATAAATCAGAGTAATGTCTCCCATCCTTAGAAATGTAACTGGCAGAGGGAACATTACCAGTATATATTATTGTTGATCATAAATCTTCAGTCTTCTATACAGTCTTCTCGTGTAAGACAGATCACTTTTTCAACTAAAAAGTAACTGAGAAATGACATAGTAAAACTATTATAAGGATATGAAACCCTCCTGGTTTATTTAAAATAAATGTTAAAATAAATTAAAAAGTCTCCTACATATATATATTTGTATATATACCTATATGTGCATACACATGTATGTCTCTATATTTCATCTTTCCTACTCACATAAAAAATAACTTTGCTCACTCCTTTACTTGCCATATTTATTAATGCAGAAATATGCAAAATGGAAGTAGAGGATGGAAAACCAGACTTTTGTGACTGAATTTATTCTTCTCGGTTTCACTGGCCTTCAAAGGGTTCATGTTTTACTCTTTGTGGGAGTCTTGGTCATCTACATTTTGACTATCACTGGGAATGTCATCATCATTGCCACAGTGGTAAATGACAACACTCTCCACAAGCCTATGTATTTCTTCCTTGGAAATCTCGCATTTTTGGACATAATCTATGTCTCGACTACTATACCCAAGCTTTTGGCCAGTCTTCTGGATGTCAAGAAGTCAATCAGCATAGCTGGGTGCAAAGCCCAAGCCTTCTCTCACTTTTTCCTTGGTGCTACTGAGTTTTTCCTCCTCACAGCCATGTCCTTTGACCGATATATATCAATATGCATTCCTCTTTACTACACCATCATTGTGAATGGAAAACTGTGTGCTAAGCTTTCATTTGGCTCTTGGATGAGTGGCTTTCTTACTGTCTTTGTGCAAACTGTTCTGGTGTTTAGACTGCCATTCTGTGGCCCCAATATCATCATTCTACTGTGACATTGGGCCGCTGCTGAAGCTGTCTTGCACTGAGACCCACCATATTGAATGGCTTGTTTTCACTGTTGCTACAGTGGTACTGTTTAGCACTTCCTTTTTGATTTTCATCTCCTACTTCACCATAATTTTTACCATATTGAGGATCCCATCTGCTTCTGGAAAACAAAAAGCTTTCTCTACTTGCATTGCTCATCTGGCTGTAGTCATCATGCTTTACGGGGCTGTGATATTCATTTACGTCAGGCCAAGAGGGCATGCCTCACTAGATATGAACAAAGTGGCATCCCTTCTGAACACCCTTATAACACCACTTTTTCTGAACCCTTTCATTTATACTTTGAGGAACAAAGAGGTAAAGACTGCCTTGAAAAAATCAGTGACCAGAAATAAAGTATTTGAGGTTAAAGAAAGAGGATTAAAATGTTGACTTTTCTGCAGGCTCCTGTAGCAAACTGATTCTAGAAACCTCTTTGGGAAGTACATATCAATAATTTTTATAAAGAATGTAGATTATTTGGATTAAAACTAGGCAGGCAGAAATAACTGCTTCCTGACTGTGTGACCTATGGACAATACTTGACTTACATGCTCAGTTTCCTGTTCTTCCATTTGTTTGTTCTGAGATTATGCTTCAAAATCTTTTCCAAAGATTCATTATTTTAATTATCCATCAAAGTAAAAATTAGAAATAAAAGGGCTCTCCACCATTTAGTGTATTTATTTGTTACTATGAAAGAGATATTTTGTGACTACAAAATTTAATTCTTCTAAAATAAAGAGGTTGAGGGACCTATGTTCATGTTTGTTGTGGCTCCACTGACCTTTAATGCAGCAAGCTCACCATAGAACAGTTTAAGAAATCCTACTTATCATTTATGTTCTGCATCATTTATGTGATTTGTGTGATTGATATATAATGCCTCCCTAATTTCTGATATGATTATCCTAATCAAGAATACTGATTCTCTCATTGCTTCAACTGATAGTCTGTGTAATTTGAAACATATTATTTCCTTTGATTAATTATTGTTTGAACTAAAACAATGATTAACAGAAAATGTTTCCTACACTGTTATACTAATCTTGGCTGAAGGGTATCTCATTTAGATAGTCACCTTAGTCTCTTTTGTCAGTTCACCTCTGAATGAAAAATTCAACTGGTATTCATAGGCAAAATGGGTTCTCATAAGGAAGTAATTTTAGGGAGAACTTCAGCCTTCAGTTCTCAAGTAAATCAGAATTCCTTTGAGAAGGAAAAATAACCAAAATCCTTTAAAATTATGGCTAAAGTTTTTATGCCTCCCTAAGGATTTTTATATGCATTTCTATCCTTAGAAACCTCCCACTCAGGAGGTAACAACCATGAAGAGTCATTGAAAGTGTCTACTTACCATATGTGTTAGAAACAGACATTGCTGAAAATGCTGACTTTAAACCTTGCCTCTCCCAGTGTAATAAAATAACTGCTACCAGGATAGATACAGGACGTGCCTAAATATACAGATAGATAAGGCAGAAGGGAGTAAGTGTGGGCTTATAGACAAGAGTATGTACTGCTTGCAACCTAGGAAAATAAAGGGATGGAGGAATGGATTTGTTTGTATGGTTATTTTTATTTTGAGGAATAATAATTTGAAATAAAAATGTTATTTTAAAGTAGCGTTAAATCAGATGGAAAGCTGTTACAGGAAGAGGCAGAGAATCAGACTCATATGAATGACCAAACCTGTTCAGAGACATCAGCATAAACCTACCAGATTTGCTTTTAGTGGCCCTATCTATGTCATTTACAATGTTTCCCAAAAAAAAAATTATGAAGATGGACAACCAGACCACACTGAGTGAATTTACCCTTTTGCACTTCATAGGCATGTGGGAACTCCAGACTTTCCTTTTAACAACCCTACTGATCACTTCTCTTTTAACCCTAGTGTCATCTTCATAATCTGGATTGATGCACATTAAGAGATGTTACAAGCAGCCACCACCTCCAGCAGTTCCACAGCCTGATTCTTCCTGCCTAGATGCTAGAGAAAAGCCTAGAGATCCGAGGCCTCCATCCTAGGTTAATGGCCATTGCTGCTGCTTTCTTGTTTGCAGGCTCAACCAGTAGTGAGGCTCAGTGTGTATCCCAGAGACACACATGTACAGACGCAAAAGGACACAAATAGTAGTTCTGCACCCTTTGTAACTATGGTAGTTTCACTGGGCTAGCCTTGGCTAGCAGCCAACACAGCCATTCACTCACTTCCCCCTTACCCCCAGGGGATAGGGGAGAGGACTGGGGGGCAAGGATAAGGAGGCTTGTAGGTTGAGATGAGAACAGTTTAATAATAGAAAGAAAAAATTTAAAATAATACTAATATTAAAATAGTAGTGATAAGGATAACAGTAACAAAATATGCAAATGAGTGACACCCAATATTATAGCTCACCCCCCTCCTGACCAAGCCCCACCCGTTCCCAGATAACGATCCTGGAGGAGCGACAATCCCGAACCGAAACCGCAATCCCGGAAGAATGAGAGCCTGAGCAAAAAGCCAGAGAGAGCTGAAAGAGGAAGAGACCCTCACTGATAAACTGGACATGATGGGATATGATATGGAATACCACCCTGGCATATCTAACTGTCAATTAAGTTAAATCTTGTGCTTGTGGACTAACAGAACACAAAGTCCTTCCCTTCCAGTGACAAAAATGTAAACATTGGTATGTTATCAGTGTCTCTCTCATAGCAAGTCCCAAGCTGAAAGCAAAACTCAGCACAATTTTAGCTACTGAAAAAAAACCCCAGCTCTGTTTCAGCTAAAAACCAGGACAGTAACATTAGTCCACATTACACATTCCTTCATAAATTGTAAGACATTGTTTTCCTAATTAAGGTCAGCATTTCCCTTCCCATACATCTTCAATTCCAGTGAACCATTGCTTTATAGCCAATATTGATTCCACAGCCTTGCACATACTTTGATAAGCATATCTTTTCATCCTCCAAACTACAAAGCCCAATCACTATGCCTGTTGTTGGAGCTGTTTACAGCTTTTATTATCTTTCTAATATTCTGTTCAGATCTTTGCAATCCAATTGATCCAATTTAGCCAGAGATTTACTAGCTCAAGTCCTGTTTTGATAGCCACATAAGAAGTCTGGTTACAATTTAATATGTGTGCATATTAAGAAGGGTTCAGTCCTCCATCGCATAAGGCTTATATATATGTACTCTCAGGAATGCTGATAGCTCAACTGGATCATGCCTATTACAAAACTGTTAAAGTATGTCAGTAGTGGCTGCCATCTCCAGTATCCCCCTCCCAGAACCTTCCTGGCTGCTGGAGCTCATTGCAGTGCCCCCACTCCAGGTGTCTCTGCCCAGGATGAGGGATGAAGCTATCATTTTTTTCATCTGCAGGTTTAACTAGTAGCAAAGCTGAGCACATACCCCAGACACACACGTGCACAGACATAGAAGGACATTGGAAGATAATGTGCTGCCATTCAAACAAGATGCTGCCGTGTACAGCACCTACATACAGGACTTGAGTAACACATGTCCTCATCTTGTAATAAGTATGTAAGGGTAAATTTGCTAATCAAATAATTAAAATTGCTAGTTCTTTTAAGCAAGCCAGACTTTTTATTTACAAAATATGCAGCACAACGCAAGAAAAGAAGCTGGGTGTGTGTCCAGAGAAGCTGGGTATGTGTCCGAAGAAGCTGGGTGTGTGTCCAAAGAAGCTGGGGGGGTGTGTGTGTCCGAAGAACCGACACAACATGTTCCGCATGTCCACAAGTTCCAGGGGCACCAGCTGTTCGTGACAGATAAC